CGCCTGGGAGCTGCCCCCGTTTCAACAGCGATGTCAATTCGCAACAACACGTGAATTCTTCACATTGCTTCAGATGTGGTTCTAAGAAGTACGGGCTTCTTGGAAACGCTGCGCAGCTCAAGAAATACAAGTGCTTCTTTTGTGACCATGTCGGTCATTTGGAAAGCTTTTGAAACCAGAAGTGGTCACAGGCACCTGTTTACGAAGTTTCAGTAGACAGCCCATTGCAGGATGAAACTGTAGAAGTTCTTATGGTTCAACAGCCTTTGACATCTGGAATTCACATTAACGTTCAACTCGGGCAGGTCGCTATGAAGCAGTTAGTCGATTCTGGATTTTCCGTTTCTATTCAATCAGGCAAGGTGTTCGACCAACAATTCTCTGGCATGCCCCTTCTTCCCATTCCGCGTGTGACGCGTCTGGATTATTTCAAAAGACCAATTTCGGTTCGAGGCTGCTTCTTTTCTGAGGTCTTTTTCGAGAATCGCAGCAAACCGCTTTTCTTTTATGTCATCGAACAGCGTACTTCTCTCATTGGCCTGAATGGTATTAGGCTTCGAAGCTGTGCATTGAAGTGTCTGAGCTGCAATGTTTTTGAGCCAGCACGGTATCCAATGATGAAGTATCTCGGACATTTTCGATAGATTCGTTTACAGAGATGCCATCAACACTTCAGCAAGAGTTTTGCTCTCTGTTCACAAATGTGCTCATTCCAGCAAAAGGTTTTATTCACAAGATTAAGACGCGTGCAGGTGTTCGGCCAGTAGCATTAAAACTTCACCGGCTTGCTTTAGCGTTACGACTATGCGTGTCTTCCGAGCTGCAGCGCTTGGAATGTTTGGACATCATTGAACGTATCGATGCATGAGAATGGGAATCTCCTATTGTAGTCACTTGGAGGAAAGATGGAAGTGTTAGGCTCTGGCTAGATTTACGTGAGCCTAAGAAGGCCATCGTTCCGGACAGCTTTCAGCTGCCTCACAGGAATGACGTGCTTCAAACCTTGGCGGGTGCCAGGCACTTTTCGAAACTTGACATAGCGTCTGCCTACCAGCAAGTTCCCCTTGATCCGGATAGTGGGGACTTGACAGCTTTTATTACACATGAAGGGCTCTACCACTTCAAGTGCGTTTGTTTCGGGCTAGCATAGGCACCTGCTGCTTTCCAGAGTATGATGTCTTGAATCCTTCGCAATTGTGCGGGTGTCCTCTTTTACATCGACGATGTGATTATTTTTGGCAAATCGGCTTACGAGCACCTGAAAAGTTTGGAGGCAGTGTTACAGCATATCAAAGACGCATGTTTGAAGCTCCACAGTAAATTTACGTTTGTAGTTCAGGAGCTCAAATTCTTCAGCCACAAAGTGACACCTTGTTGTCTTTCGCCACTGTCGAGGAAAGTGGAGGTGATTGTCCAAACCACCGTTCCAAAAAATGTCGCTGAACTTCGTTCCTTTCTCGGCTTGATGGAATACTATGCCAAGTTTGTGCCACACTTGGCTGAGATGGTAGAACCAATGAGGGCTTTTCTCAGGAAAGGCGAAACCTTCACTTGGTCTGTTGAGGTGGATAAGTTTCCGCGCGGTAAAAGTGGTATTATTATCAGATCTTGTCTTACACATGTTTGATCCTGCGCTTCCGATTATTATCTCGACTGATACATACGAATGTGGTCCAGTAGCAGTGCTTCAGCAGCATGCCAGTGGTAATCTTCGTACTGTTGCTTTTGCAGTTCGTACGCTATTCCTGGCTGAAAGAAAGTGTGCAGCTGGCGAGAAGGAAGCACTTGCATGCATTTTGGCATGTGAACATTGGCATGCATACTTGTGGGGACGCAACTGCACTCTCTGAACAGACCATCAGGCAATCGTTTCGCCTTTGTCTTCTTCAGGCTCAGGCCATCCACAAGCCTTGGCCACTTAGCATTGCACGTTGGTGCGCAAAGCTAGTGCAGTACAATTTCACGGTGGAGTACCAGAAAGGCTCGTCCAACAGAGTAGCTGATGCTCTGTGAGGATTACCTGTACATATGGCAGATACACAGCTGAATTTTGAGGAATAAATTGTTTCCATGGTTGAACAAACTTGCCTAACAATAGAGCACTTTAAACAAGCGGTTCTGGCTGATGCCACTCTTGAAAAGGTGAAGGTGTTTGTAAATTGGTCTTGGCCATCACACAGAGATTTGGCAGACGATCTTCAACCCTACTTTGGAGTTCGTGACGAATTGTCTGTAGTGAGTGAATTGTTGATGTGGGTAGAGAGGTTTGTAGTTCCTTCATCTCTTGTGGCTCAACTTGTGGCAACAGCACAGTAAACGCACCAGGGTATTGTACACACCAAGGCCAGACGTAGGGAGCGATTTTGGTGGCCCTGCATGGACAGTCACGTAAAAGAAGCCAGCCACAATTGCAGAATCTGTCAAGCAGCATATACATTGGCAAAGATGTCGCCTGCTCCAATGCAACCTGTAGAGTTACCAGAGAGTCCACGGCAGAAGCTTGCAATTGATATCGTAGGTCCCCTGAAGGGGGCGCCTCCTATTGCAGATTTGTCCTTACACTAGTGGACTACTTGTCATTATGGGCAGAAGTGCAGTTTGCACGGGAAATTTGTACAAAAACCGTCACCGAATTCCTGCTCAATATATTTGGCGTGAACTGGGGCCCATTATCACAAACTATCTCTTCGGTATTTCCTTCCCGTGTGAAGCAATTCAACTTCTTACAAGAAGGAGTGATCCGTCCGTCGCATTCATCTGTATATTTCCACCAGGGAAACGGACAGATCGAGAGTTTCAACCACACGTTCAAGACTTACCTCCAAGTGGCCAATCTGGAACAACGTCCACTGCGAATGGCTGTAGGGGATTATATCGCCGCACACAGGTGTATGCCACACGCCACAACAGGAGTGGCCCCTGCGGTATTGTTACATGAAAGGCTGCTAAGAACGAAGCCTGACGTACTCGGCTTATCACCAGAGTCCTTCGCAAAGACATCCTACCAGGAACTGGCCAGGCTCTAGCAACATGTGGAGCAAAAACAAGAATACAGTGAAGCCTACACCGACAGCAGGCGAGCGGCAAAGCCGACAACAGTGGTAGTGGAAGACACGGTTCGGGGGAATAAACCATCGGCTTCATTCCAGGGTGACATCTCCTTTGTGACACCAAGGACAGTCTTAGAGCGGTGTGGTCCAGCATCCTTCATTCTCGATGACGGTAAAACAGGGAAGGCGGCAAAGCAGTGCAAGGTGCCTGCTCGGCGCCCTGGTGACAATGGCCATCGGCAACATTCGGCCGGGCGTTAATCGTCGTTTCATCACGATCCCTTGGGTGCGACACTTCTCGCTTAAACATGGCAGTCAGCACCTGCTGAAGCAAGTGTTCCTGCCGTGCAATCTGTGCCTAGTGCAGGCTACTTTCCTGGTCGCCAACGAGATCAGCCGCCGGACAGTTTCCTGTGTCAGGAACTGCCCCATACCCACCCATCAGCCCTACAGAAGAGCCTGTGGTGTCGTGCCCACCTGGCTGTCGCATTCAGGCACACCGCAAGAGACGGCGGCCAGACCTATATGGTAGTTCAGTGTGAATGCATACATATTTCGAAGTGGGTGTACTCATATACCCAGTGTGTTAAATAAATGTGCATATGTATAGATAATTTGATGATAGTATAGATAGTATAGATAGTTGATAATTTGATGTGTGTTTATTAATCTGTATATAGTGATGTGTATGTGGGTGCGATGAACGTTTACTAATATATACTAACGAACTAACACCTTTACTAAACCTAAAACAAATGAAGGAGCGACAATGTTGTACCCTGCAGTGTTGGTTTCAGTGTGTAGGTTGGCCACACTGTGTCCTCGTGCTTGTATATATTTGTGGAAAGTCTAATGAAAGGGCAGTCTGTATGCAGTCACCACCCGGCGTGTGTCGGTCACGTTACTCCATCACTACAGGTTCATCCAATGATGTGCTGATACAGTAATGGGGACATCACCAAACGGCTTCAAGCTAGATAATATTTCGTATTCCCCCTTGTCGGGGCTTCAATGAGGTCTCCACTGGCCAGTTTTGATGCTTTGTAACCTGCTCCAAGTGTGTCCATTAGACACCTTGAAACTAGCAAAGTGGAGAGTTTTGTGACTGGTTTTGCTGGTGTGTTAATATGTGTACCATGATGACATGGGAAGTTGTTTTTGTTCGGTTGAAAAAGCTGAAAGGTTGCTTCGGCGCGCACCCTCTTCAGAAAGCAAGGAATGCGTAAAAGATGTCGATGAACCTCATAGTGTTTTGAAAATTCAATGTTGCCTTTTTACATAAATAACGGCTTGAAACTGCGCTTGAAAACAAAGTTTGTGTGTACAGCGTTCATATGCAGGCGCTAATAAAAAAATAGGCATTTATAGCCATTTAGGAACGAACACCAAGAAAAAGCATTAATAAGTTCTTCAAAAAACACTGTAAAAGGACTTTCTAAACTGTCATTCATGCTCATATATCCAAAGGGCACGACAAGAACGCAAGGAACAAAGTAGGCATTGGCATATATATAATACACTCTCTAGTAACCACCCACACTACTTTGAGATACGTGATTGTGCGATATTAGAATATTTGTGCATTCTTGTTACTTATTCTAACCAAACCTATATATATTTTTCACTGAACACAATAGTTTAACAATAGCACCTATGAATACTAATTTGCAGTTGTAATATTTTGCACCATTAATAGCGTCTTTTATTACAATGCCTAGTGCATTCGCACATTTGTGCTTTGCATTTACCTATCTATCACAATCAGGAAGGATGGTTCTATATACGTTCTCCTTATTATGGTTCGCACTGTGTATGTCGGTAAATATTTATTATCAACCTATTGTTACATTCAACCAGTTTATATAAAAATAGTAATAGATCTCATGCTTTATCGCTTGATATTTTTGTTGGAATCAAGTTTGCCGACCACAAGAAAATTATTTTACTTACCAAGTCGGAAAGCAACAAAGGTAAGCAAGAATAAAGCTGCCACAAAGGCCATTACGTTGCAGCGCTGCTTTTGACTGCAGAAGGTTTCTGAATATAAAGAGAAAAAGGAGAAATTGCACACACTTTGGCTTGCGTACATTTGAACCCTGTTAATTTAGACGCAAGAAATAGGGCGTTCCCAACTCTAATAGGTACAAACCTAAGTGCGGTGATGTAGCTAATGTATACAAGTGTGATGAACATGCCCATGCAACAGCCACACCATATTAAAAAAAATCTTGCAAGGAATCGTATCGAAACGAATTGCCCGTCTATACTCTCAACTCTGTATTTTTGAAAAGGTTAGCAATTGAGGGGTGCCTGAACGCTGAAGTTATGGTTTTTTTCCTCGCTCTGGCAAACCAAGGGCGCCATGCGAAGTGTCGCGAACTTCCAAGTAGAAAAAAATTGGCAGATCCCACGTAGAGTGGGAATGTACGATATGCGACGCACGAATGAGAGAGGTTGATATGTAAGTTTTAAAAAAAGGCACAATGCTACAAGACAGATGTAAATTACTCCGTAAAGGACTTACTAGTCATAATAATCATGTTTCAACGTGTCATTTACCCTCGTCATCTATTCACGTCCCCTGATACCAAACTTGATATATGCGAAGCTAACAAAACGGCCATGAGTGCATCATGAAAGGCCCAATACAGTCCGATGTAACGTTGATGCGCATGCATGCAGGGAACAGTGACGCAGTGCTAGCAAAACGTGAGCACTCTATAGTCTGACGCCAAGCGCGACCGGTTTGACAAGCGTGAAATGCAACATTTCGCCCGATGACGTTACCCAGACAGACACCACTGCGTCTGCCCATCTTCGGGACGGAAGGACACCGGCCGTGCTCAAACGCGCATGCGTCAAAGCAACGCAGAACGACGCGTGCCTGTGAGTATAAGCAGGCAGATCGGCGCCTGGCGTCGCAACCTATAAGCAGGCAGATTGGCGTCACGACAGCCTGGCGTCGCAACGCTGTCGCGACGCAACAAAATGAATGCCGGCGCACATGCGCGCCGGGTCCTGTCGAGCTGTATTGGTGCCTTGAGTGTGACAGGTAGTCATGTTCTTACAAGACACACATCTCATGATTATCATGTTTGCACCAGTCACATACCTTCGTCATCCATTCACGTTCCGCAATACCAAACTTGGTATATGTGAAGCTAGCGAAACGGCTGCGAGCGCTTCATGAGCGTGGCATATAGTCATATTTTTACATGACACGCATCTCATAATTATTATATTTGCACCAATCCCATACCTTCGTCACCATTCACGCCTCCTAATACCTAATTTGGTATATTTTGGTATCTCTATATTTCAATTGTTTACATAGCGCCTGTCCCAATGGGGACTGTTGCAGGAGGGCAAACAAAATACATAAGAAATACATACACAACCAAATACACAATCGATACACCTGCACTCACATAAGAAAATGCGCGAGTATAGGCATTCTAAAATAATATATGAACAGTATAAAAGCACAACCTATGTCTGGCTGATATACACAAAAATATTATACTACGCAATCCACTTATAACACTGACATATTCAAAAAGCAACCAAGAACTGTACGAGCGAGAAAGGAAGCATGTAAAACAAACTTTATTTCAGTTATGAGTGTCACGAATGTGGTTTTAAGTAAAGTTTCAAAAGTATTAAAATCTTTACTATTATTCAGACAAGCGGGCGACCTATTTCATTCTCTAATTAACTGTGGGAAGAAGGAATACATGAAGCAGTTTGTGCTGAAACAGTATTCCTGTAATGTTAGTGAATGTTTATGGCGTGACTGTGTGGTTTCTGAAGTAATTATGATTCTTGAGCAGTCGATGTCTAGCTGCCAGGAATAAATTGAAAGAACATTTTTAGGCGTTCGAGTTCAGCGCGATTTCGTAATGGCAGTCGCCCGGCTCTTGCGATTGGTTCAGAGGATGAGTCGAGCAAACTGTATTTATTATAGGTTAATCTAACTGCTTTTTTTGCTTTTTTTGATCCCCGTCTAGATATTTAATTAGGTTCTTTGTTGCCGAGGGCCGGACTACGTTGGCATATTCTAATAAGGGGCGAAGTAAGGTTTTATAATCGAAGTATTTTGTTTGAGGTGAGGTGAAACGTTGTCGTCTTTTTGTAAAAATTATATCTTTAATGCTGAAGATGTAACATAGTTAACATGCGCCTCTCATCTAAGATCATTAGAAATCACTAGTCCTAGGTGCTTATGCGGTTTTAGGAACGTTAGCGTTGTGTCGTCAATAGTGCAGTCATAATAGATAGCGGTAGTTTACGTGATAATACTAACAGAGCTGATTTTTCACGTTTAGGGTCATCTGCCATTTCAAGCAGCAATCAGATACTGATAATAGGGCATTGCTAAGGGCAATATGGTCGGAAGGAGAGTTAATTTTGTATAAATGATACAATCGTTGGCGAAAAGCTTGATGTTCGTTTCAATACACTGGGACAAATCTTTAATAAATATAAGGAATAGAAAGGGGCTAAGACGCTGCCCTGCGGTACACCTCATGTAATTTTTGATAGCTCCAGTGTTTGCTGGTTCTTGTTTAGAAATGGCGTTCGCTCGGTCTGATATGCACTAATTCACTTTGTGATTGGTCTGTTACCTGTTGTGGCCAGCAGTGTAATTATTAAATTTTGATATAAAACCCGGTCGAATGCTTCTGAAAAGTCGAGTGAAATAAGGTCAATCTGCTTTTCATGATGAATAGATGATCACAGCTCATGTATAATTCAGTGATTGACGTAACGGTAGATATGCCTTTAAGAAACCCGTGCTGAAATAATGACAAAATGTGCTCTTTTTCAGTGTAAGTAGTGATATTGCTGCATCAAGTGCGACTGACTCAAATCCTCTGCTGATGCTCCTACTGATAAGAACTTCCTGGAATTGCACGTCGACGGTCTTTCTTTGACGGCGTTAGTTGACACTGGAGCTCAGGTGTCTATAAAGAGTGCTCGTCTATGTCGCCACCCCAAAAAAGTACTCACACCTGCCGCAAAACAAGCCGTCCGTGTCGCCGATGGTGGAACTGTGGCCGTCATTGTAATGTGTACCACTCGTATTAGCTTTGTCAGCCACCGTGTTCCTGTTTTATTTACCGTGCTCGACAATTGCCCCATGACCTCATCTTCACGATTGACTTCTTATTAACGAATTCTGCCCTGATCGACTGTTCCGCCAGCACTCTCTGTTTAGAACTTCCTCTTCTTCCGGATTCTCGTCCCAAGCTGCCAAAAAGCCTCTGTACTGCAGACTGGAATCGGATACCGCCAAAACCCCTCGAAGTCATTGAATTGGCAACAAGTTCAACCGTTCTTGGCGGTGATTATGTCGTTACGCCTATTTCTGTTGTTCTCCTGAGGCGCGACATCACTGTGCCACACTCCATCGTAACCATGACCTCTAACCGAACATGTTTGCCCATTATCAATTTTAATTTCGCGCAGCAAGTACTACCACACGGAATTTAGGTCGCCGCGCCTCGACCTTTATCAGACGCCCATATCACCGATTTTGCGTGAGACGCATGCTCCGATCTTTCATGTCGCCCGCAGGTTGCCAAAATCCCTCGATGCGGCCTTGCGCCTCACGATCGAACCGAAACTCAGACCCACGGTGTTAGAATAGGTTAGGTGCTCAGACCTGGTTAGGTGCTCAACACCGTGCCTTGACCTGAGCAATACGACGAACTATTCCGCCTTCGGGCTTCCTACCACGAAATATTTGACACCGACAGCAGTCCACTCAAGACTCCCCTCGTGAAGCATTGCATTATTACTGCTGATTCTTCTCCCGTTCACCGCCGACCATACTGGGTGTCTGCCATTGAGCGTGAGGTATTTCAAGAAGTCAGCAAGATGCTAGCCAACAAAATTATCGAACCCTCCTCGAGCCCTTGGGCATCTTATGATGTGCTCGTTAAAAAGAAAAATGACACGTGGCACTTCTGCGTCGATTACCGCCATCCTAGACGAATCACGAAAAAAAACGTTTATTTTTTGCGCAGAATTGATGAGCCTTTGATTGTCTACATGGCGCGCGATACTTTTCTTCAATTGAACTACGTTCTGGCTATTGGCAGATTGCGGTGGACGAGAAAGACCACAAAAAGGCTGCGTTTGTAACTTACTACGACATATATCAATTCAAGTTGATGCCGTTTGGGCTATGCAACGCCCCAGCCACGTTTGAGCGTATGGTGGACTCGCTATTCAAAAGGGTTCAAGTGGTCAACATGCCTGGGCTACGTGGATGATGTACTTGTATATTCGCCTACATTTGAGACACACCTACAGCGTTTGTCAGTGGTTCTCGACATCTTCCGCACTGCTGGCCTTCAACTAAATTCGTCAGAATTCTACTTCGGCCGCCAGCAGATTACGGTGTTGGGCCACCTTGTCGACGCATCAGGTGTGCAGTCTGACCCGGAGAAAACTCTTGCCCTCACGAGCTTTCCTGTATCCCAGTCTGTCAAGGACGTCCGAGGCTTTGTGGGATTTTGTTCTTATTTTAGAAGGTTCGTGAAAGCTTTTGCCACGATCGCTCGACCACTCACCAAGCTTCTGAAGAAAGACGTGACTTTTACGTGAGGTTCCGCTCAAGCTGCCACTTTTTCTCACCTCATCACCCTCCTCACGACTCCACCTATATTGGCCCACCTTGACCCGTCCGCTCCGACCGAAGTCCGAACCGATGCAAGTGGTCACGGAATTGGAGCCGTCGTAGCCCAACGCCAGCGGAGACATCACCGAGCTAACGCCTACGCTAGCCGCCTTCTCACAGCTGCCGAGCGCAACTATTCAATAACAGAGCGGGAATGTCTTGCTGTCGTTTGGGCTGTCACAAAGTTCCACCCTTATTTATATGGCACAAATTTCTCTGTATAACGGACCACCATGCGCTATGTTCGCCTTCGTCTCTGAAAGATCCTACTGGCTGGCTTGGGCGCTGGGCTCTGCGGCTGCAAGAGTGTACCTACACAGTGACGTACGAGTCCGGACGCCTACATCAGGAC